AATGCTAAAACATACATCAAGTTTTTTGTTTTTTAAATAGCATTGCAGCAACATCTCCTTAATTTTGATCTATTTATTTCCGTTTTATAAAGTTTTTTGTTTTTTAAATAGCTTTAAAATATATGTCGGGCAACACACCTGTGTGACCGAGTCAATAGCCCAAAAAGTTGAAGCAAAGCGTCGTGGTTTGAATCCTACCACTCCAACTTTTTTTTTTTTTTTAAATTTTCTTTAATTTTTCTAAAATAAAAAAAAAACACTTTTAGAATTATAGATATTCTATACATAACATATGTAAAAATGTTATACACCATGACAAATGAAAGGGAGGGAATTTTTGAAAAAGTTTTAAATTTCTAAAAGCATCAAAACACTGATAGAAATTTGTTGTGCATATGTCAAGATAGTTATGTTATTAATGTGCTTAGGTAATTAGTCCTAATAAGCTGCAGATAGTCTGAAAAAAATATATGGTCTGAAACTTAATAAAGAAAAAAAAATAATAAGTCACTCTGCTCTGCTGAGACAGTCAAAGTAAATTTGGGTTTATTCTAGTTTTTTATTATTTATTAATATTGGGTTTAGTAAAGTGTTTTAAAATAATTTTTAAAATCCAAGCTAACTTTTAAACATTTTTTTTTATAAAAACAGTTATAACCAACAATTTAACATATGGGGAGGGGGTGATAGGTATTAGGTATCAAAATATTTCCTCCAGGCTAAAGTTCCTCTGTTAAAATATTTTCTTTTTTTAATAAATTATGTCATAAAAAAGATCATTTTTTAAAAACTGAAAGTATTAGAAAGTATTATGCCTACAATGGCGCCTATGATGCAATGTTATCTTTAAATCAAATCCAAATCTTTAAACTAATACGTCACTTTGATTAATTATATATATCAACCAAAACTTATTAACTCTTTGTCATGTGGTCACCATCTTAAAGTAAGGCATGAATATGTTCCAAACTGTCTTCCAAGATACAACCAACTTTATCATAGATCAGCACAATACTGGAACGAACTACCCGAGCAAGTAACTTTCTACTCAACTGTACTTTCTTTTAAAATTAGACTAGATCACTGGTTAGAGATAAAATTCAGAACAAATATTTATAAAACTGGTTTTTATAGTAGGATGTTTTCCCTGTTTGCTGTATGTACATTTTACAGCTGCAACAATAATAATAATATTAGATTTTTAAAAAAGTTTTTTTTTTTAATGTACAATTCTCCACATGAAAAAAAGAGCTCTTGACAAATTTTACAAAATAAAATTAACAAAATTTACAATACAATATTAATGCAATGAATGTAACAAAAAATTAAACAATTGAAATGAAAATTGTCATTCCTGATAATAATATATATTTAAATTATAATTAAACTTTTCCAGAAAATGAAGCTGCTTTTTTTTAAAAATGCTTTTAAAATCTAAAACTAATTTAGAAATAGATTCTCCAATCACTGAGCTAAAACATTTTTTTGAATAATTGAAAACTTTCTAAGACAATTAACCATAGGTTGTGTAAATATTTATTTGCATAGAGCCTGCACTTAGAAGATTAACTTCTAAATCGTCTAATTTATCTTAAAGTCTCTGTGAATTGTTACCATCCAAACATGTTCCATAGTAACCTCTAAACATAATTTTTTTTTAAGCCATGTATCAAAATCAGGCCACAAACTAATTAATACTTTTACAAGCATTGAAGTAATACAAATCAAAGTGTGTAACTCTGGCGGAGGGATAAGATGTTTCACTAATGTTTCTATAGGTTCATTGAGATATAAAATTCGAGGAGGAATACAGTTTTTAAATTCCTTCATGTTATTGTTCTTACATCCATCTGTAACAAATTTATTGTAATTGATATCAATTGAACCTAAAGTTCTTTTTTCTCCATTCTCTAGAGGGCTTTCTCCTTCACATCAGAGACAAGCCACTGTGGCTGCTTAAACCAAATAAAGAGTTATCACATTTTAGATCAAATGCTATTGAATATTTTAAATTATTCAGACCTAATGGTTTCAATAGTTTCTAAGATTTCTATTATGTTTTGAAACATCTTCAACTAAAGCTAAAACCAATAATCTTTTTACACCAGAATCATGTAGATTTTCTGAAGTTGTATTTTTGCATAATAGATCAAAAATATTTACAATGCATTTAAGAAAACCATGTCTACCATCAATTGAAATCCTAACAATAGTGCAATAATGATTCAAACCTCTTTCATTATTCATACGAAGAATTAAATCAGAAGTATCTTTTACAAATATCAAACTGCGACTTATCTCTTCAATCCCTAAAATGAATGATTCAGTTTTTACATCATAAAATTCTGACAAAGTGTTAAGCAGATCCCCAATCTGAGTTGATATATTAGGTTCTAACACTGTCTCCTCTAAGTTTTTTTGCATATTTTTTCAAAGAAGTTTTGTTTTTCTTTTACTCAGGTTTAGAATATTTGAGATTTTCATTATAGCTTCTAAAGGCAATTTTTTAAGGCATGCTCTGCTACATTTATTATCAGGTGTGTCAACAACAACAAGGTTGTTTCCATAACTAAAGGTTGTTTCTATATATATATATATATATATATATATATATATATATATATATATATATATATATATATATATATATATATATATATATATATATTATATATATATATATATATATATATATATATATATATGTATATATATATATATATATATATATACATATATATATATACATATATATATGTATATATATATATATGTATATATATATATATATGTATATATATATATATATGTATATATATATATATATATATATATATATATATACATACATACAGATTTTTCACATCAGCCATTTTGACAAAAAATATATGTTTTATATGAATACTTTATAAAATAATACTGAAACATCAAGTCTCTATCGGTTTTGAATGGATGATATAATCATAATAGGATGTAATTTTTAAAAGATATTTTAAATAAATTTAAATTGTTTGATGTTTAAAAAATTTTAAAAGTGAGTTTTGATTTTAAAAGTTATTTTAAAACAATACTAAACTCAATAATAGTAATTTAAAAAAATTTGAGTAAACCAAAATTTACCCTAACGGTCTCAGGAGAGCACAGTGAAGCTCGTCCTACTACTTCAGTAGGTGTTGTTGTAGAGGCAAAAAAAATATAGCCCAATAGAAAAAGTAAAAACTTTAAAACTTTAAAACTTTAAAAGTTAAAAGTCTTTTCTATCTATTTATAAATTTTTATGCCCAGAAAAAAATTGAAAATAAGGGGCAGATTTGAAATACCTTGCTCCTGGTGACCCAGTTTCCTGGTCCTCTTTTGCTTTGTAAATTTGATATAGTCTTAATAAATGGTTAAAATTTTATTTTTTTAACCTTGAATTTTGAAAAACGCTGCAATTGCTTTCAATGTTAGAGACACTTATATTAACTGTTTACTCATTCAATAAAGTTAATCTGCCCATCTTACATTAAAAAGGCGACTTTTTTTTAGGAAGATGTTTTTATTTAATTAAGACTTTTTCAGAAATAAATAAACAAGGTAGGAGTTCTAAGCATAATAAGTTAATGAGCTCTAAGCATTCAAATAAAGTGTGCATAATTTTTTTTGCTCTGAGAGCAATGTTTTAATGAATTATTCTTCTACCATTTATTCCCTTTATATAGAATTTTTCTACCATTTATTACTTGAGAGAAAATTTTAATATTTAGGTTTTTAAGAGCAAATTTTATTTGATTTCTTGTTAAAGGAACTTTTTATAATATTATGGAAATTTTGTTAATGTTTTTTTATTAATAAATTTTATAACTTACTTAGAAATAAATGAGGTGGGCACAGTTAAAACGAGTTTTAGTTACGATTCTACAGGAGGAACATCTACAGATGAGAATACACCGGTGCCTTCACCATCGCCTTCGCAAGTGTTTGAAATGAATAAGGAATCGTCACAGATAACTTCTTCTAAAAATTCTGATAATGAAAAAAGACAATATTTAAAGCCTGCATTAGTTCAAGAATCTTCTGTAATTCGACCTTCACTTTTGCAGCGTGCTCAGCTTTTTTTACAAAAGCAGCTTGATGTTTTGACCAGTTCTTCAAGTTCAGAAACACAATTAACAAAAAATTCTACCTCTTTATGGACATCAAATCCCACTAATTATGAATCAAAGCTTACTACTGTTACTCAAACTGAGAATCAGTCTCCACTTTCATCTCTTTCAGTTGATACTTCATCTATTTCTAGCGATATGTCAACAGTAAATAATATCAGATATGGAAAAGAAGTTTACGGAAGATTTTCTTCAGAAAAATACCCTCAGATAAAACGAGTTGATTCTGTTGACAGTTCTAGAAAAATTGAACCTAGACTTACTGACTATAATTTATCTTTATCACAACAAGGTATTTTTAGGTTTTTTAAAAAGGCTTTGTTTTTGTAAAATAAATTTTTATTTTATTCCTAGTTATTTCAATTTTCATTATTTATATTTATATTTATTTGTTTCAATTATTAAATATTTGTTTAGTTAATTTATTTCAACTAAATTAGGTGATAGAGCTGGGGATAAGTCTGCAGAAGAATGGAGACAATCAGGTAATGATAACAACTATGGAGTAAAATTTAATAATAAACCCACTTTATTGCGTATGGATTCAATGTCAGGAAGTTCACCAAAAAACTTTGAAAAAAAAGCAGGTATAAAATTTTCTAAAGAATAGTAAAAAATTTTCAAATATTTTTGTGACAAATTTTTTTTTTTTAATTCTTTTTCTAGTATTGTTATTTATTGTTTTTTAGAGAACTATTATAGAGAACAACATAATTATAATGAAGATAAAAGATTTCAGCCAAGATCTAATCACGAAATTTCCTTCATGCGATCCACTGACTTTGATCACAATGGGTATTCTGCTATGCGTAATGTAAATCGTTATCGGCAAAATAGTTATGGATCCGGTCACAGCAGTCCTGTATCTTCAATAGGAAGTGCAAAAAGTGAAAGTTCTTCTAGTATTGCTAGCTCAATGATGACATTGACAAGTGTTGGTAGCAGGTACTTCTAAACCTTATAACTCTTATAATTAGAAATATAGTTCTTAATAAATGTATAATTGAACCTGTCATGACAGGTTTAATTATCTTTATTTTCAAAAAAAATTATTTTAATACAATCTTTTAGTATTTTATTCTTTTCAATTTATTTCAATTTTAATCTTTTTTGAAAATTTTTATCCTTTTTAAAAATTTTAATTTTTTTTTTGAAAATTTATAGCTCTTTAGGCATACAGTCTGTGTTTAGTTTACAGCGAATTAAATATTTATTAAAGTATTTATTTTGCTGCAAAGCTTTCTGGGATATAGAATGCTTTTTAAAGTTTGGATTAGGATATCTATCTTGGATTAGGATATCTATTTTAAAGTTTCCTAATTTATATAATTAATAAAATTAATTCTATAACTTAGGAAACTTTAAAATAGATAAAAAAAAAAATTTTGAATCTATTTATAATGATCTTTGTTACCTTAAAGAAAGTTTAATATGTTGGAAAATATTTGTTTTTCGCAAAATTTATTTTTCAAAAATTTATGACATTTCTTCTTCAGCAAAGGGTGTTTTTAGTATTCTGTTTTTCACAAAGTATTCTGTTTTTCACAAAGTAACAAAGGAACCAAAAAAAAAAAAGTATTTGAATTTTTTTTTTTTTTTTTGAATGTTAACACTCTTACTGATTTTACTTTCTGCTTTACCTCTTCTTTGATTCTTTTTCACTCACTATTCAATCCATGGCAATCCCTGCTTAAAATCTCACTCTTTATTGTGCTTGCCATTTTCCTACTCCTAACTCCAGCTCCCACCATAAATCTGTTATCCATTCTTGTATGAAGTATTGTTCTCATATTTGGGCTGGATCTTCAAAGTATGCTCTTTGTGAAAATGTGTAAAAATGCAATGTAAATGACTTGGATTTTTTCTTGCAGCATATCACATCTCTTTCTTTTTTTTACTAATCCTATCATGGAGTTATAATTTACTTCATCGATCAAAATTCATTCTTGTTTGACTCAAAATAATTTTATCTATTTTTTTTCTTTGTGTTTTGGAATTCTACTTTGTATTCATGCTTTTCTGATTTTTATAATTTACAACATACAATTTACAATTTAAGTCTTTATTTTATCTTCATGCTTAAAAGAGACCACCCTTAAATAAAAGAGACCACCCTTTAAGCTTAAATAGTTGTAGTCTGCAACTTTGTTAGATGTAATTGAAATTTGTTTGTTAAGTTTTGTACCAAGCTTCTAATACTTATTCATAATCTTTTGATTTTTTTAACATTTCATAACCTTTTGATTTTTTTAATATTTCCTTTAAATATACTGTTTGAAAATATGGTTGTCTTTCCAAAAAGTATTAATTCATACATATGATGCTTTTATCATTGACTGCAAGTTTAATATGTTGTAAGATGTGTGTTTTCTTAATCATTTCATGGTCATTTGATTTATTGTTACATTTTTGTCATCTTTTTTACTTTCTTATTGTTCCTTAAACATTTAGATATGATGTCCTATTTATAATAAAATATCAATTATCAATAATTTTTATAACAAAAAAAATATAATTTAGAGTCTTCAATCCATTTCAATTATGTCATTCATTTGGTTACATTTCTTTTAGTAACTGAGAGGTTTTGTTTAATATTGCATGTATCCATCCATTCAAGGATCACTTTAGAAATCCATCTTTAGACATTTCTTCAACCTCTAAATTTGAATTTAAGATAATTAAATGTCAAAATGGTTGAATAGATAACAGTTAAAGAGCTATTTTGTGTGTGTTTCAAAACACTTTCGATCTCCTCAAAACACTTTTGATTTTCTCAAAACACTTTTGATCTACTCAAAACACTTTCAATCTCTTCAAAACACTTTTGATCTTCTCAAAACACTTTCGATCTCCTCAAAACACTTTCGATCTCCTCAAAACACTTTTGATCTCCTCAAAACACTTTTGATCTTCTCAAAACACTTTTGATCTCCTCAAAACACTTTCGATCTCCTCAAAACACTTTTGATCTTCTCAAAACACTTTTTTTTTTAAGATTGCTTACAGGCAATGTATTTGTATTGTATACATTGGAAAAAAAAACTGAAATAAATAGTTTAATATAATTTAAATTATTCTGATTTTTTCTAAAAATATCAAAATTTTATGGCTAGGTAGGCCTAATAAATGTACAATATTTTTACATTCTTAATTTTTTAAGAAAATTTTTTTTATAAACCATATTAAATAACTACAAAATTAAAACCAAATTTCGTTTTTATTTTTAGCATGTCATGGATTCCACCAAGTTTAAGATTATCTGGAGATGTACAGTTAATTGATTTTGTTGAAGGTTTAGGTCCTGCTCAGGTTGTAGGAAGGCAGGTACTAGGTAAGATAAGATACTAGGTAAAAAAAAAAAGGTTTGGTTATGAATGTAATTAGTGATGCACATCTATATAACTATAGCTGTATTTTAGTATCTTCTAATGTTTCACATCTTGTTGTTGTTGTTGTATAGTTCTTTTGTCTGTGTTGTGTATGTATATTCCATTAAATAAATTTTTAATAAGTTAACTACAATCTGACAAAAAAAAATTTAAATTTAAAATTTTTAATAGAGTTTTCACAGTTTTTCATTTACTGGCATTAAAAACCAATATTGAACTAAATTTTTCCAATACCAAATCATATCACAATACCAGCTTTTAAAAGTTTTTAAATTTTTTGATATTTCAAACATAAAGGGATCCCCAAGTGCTGAGACAAGTTGTGCTCATATTTTAAAAAATGTTTAGAAAAAATGTTTAGGCTAAATTTTTTAAAATTAATTAAAATTAAATAATAAAATAATTAAATAATAACTGTATTAATTAAATAATAAAAATCAATAAAATTAAAATTGTAGTCGAAAATCACTGTCTCCATTTTTTTGAAGTTTTTTGAATATTTTTGATTTTTTTTTTAAGATATTTAAAGATATTTTTAAGATATTTTCAAATTTTATTCATTACAAACTCAGAGCAAAAAGAGATTTCTTTTTTTTTTTTTTTTATCAATAAAGAAAAAATTAATTAGTACGACGCTGTTTTACTTACAACAAGAAATGCACTTAAACACTTAAAAAGAGATTTGCATTACTTGTATAGTTGAATTACATTGAGTTCAAGTAAATTAATTGCTGCTATCAAAACAATTCAAACAATACAGCAAAATGACTTTTTCTGTTTTTTGTTAGCAAATGAGTTATGAAATAATAAATTGATATTTTTAAACTTTTTTTGAAAAATATAAAGATTTAAATAGTGCTATAATTTTTAAATGATAAAATAAAATAAACTACGCAATGAAAAATTGATATAAAAATGTTTTAGTAGAGCGTTCTAATATTTTGGCTAAAAATGGTTCTTACTAATAATGTGCAATACCGGTGTACACCAGTATTGCAAAATAAGTATTGAATATTGATAAACATATAAATATTGATATAAATATTGATAAACATAACTCACAGGTTTTTTAATTGTAATGCATATTTAGTAATGTCAAAAATACAATCAAAGTCTACAATTCATTGCAACATACAGAAAAACCTTTTTTTAAATGTTTTTCTGTATGTGAATATGAATTGTTTTTATTTTCCTTTATAAAAATTAACTTTTTAAATGCCAAAATTTTATATTACTTTAGGCTCACCTCTAATGGGTGATGTGCAGTTGAGTCTTCTTGATAGAAGAGGTGTGCTTGATGTTGAAATTATTCGAGCAAAAAGTTTGATAATAAAGCCGGATTCTAAAACACTCCCTGGTTGGTAATTCTTTATTTTTCAGTTTTTAATTACTCTCAATTATAAATTTAATTAACAATATCCATTTTAGCACCTTATGTGAAGGTTTATTTATTATGTGGTAAAGAATATGTTGAAAAAAGAAAAACAAAAACGTCATCAAAAAGAACACTTGATCCTCATTATGCACAACACTTAACTTTTGTACAAAATTATCAAGGAAAAGTATTACAGGTTTGTTTTAATTTTTTAAGCTTTCAATTATTTTTTTTTTTTTAAGCTTTATTATTTTTTTATACAAAATTTTTTGCTTAAATCATAAGTTTCACAAGTTTTTTTAATTATATTTATGATATTTAATTTACAACTATTTAGATTGTTATTAACTTTTAATATTTACTATCATTATCTTAAATTTAATAAGTTTTAGATTAATGTTATTATAATTTTTTTGCTTCAATAAATTCATGTTAATAAATTTATAAAATCTAAAAAGTTAGAGATGATACCTGTAAAAAAAAAAAAAAAAAAAAAAAAGAAAATTTTATTTTAAACTAAAACACATATAAAGTAAAAAAAACTACTATAAAACACGCATAAAGTAAAAAAACTAATAATTACCAAAATATATTCTTTGCTTTTTGAATTTTTAAAATATTTAGTTACATATTACTGATAATTGCTACATTTTGGTAGCAGTTGTTTTCATTATAATAACTGTTTCTGTAAATTAAAGTCCTAAATAATTTTTTAAATTCTGATTTATCATTATTCTTAAGAAATAGCTTTTCTTTGTGATAACCTAGTTTGGTTTTATAGCTAACTGTAATTCTGCTTTTAATCAAAATTGATGTTAAAGATTTACTGTCTTGCTTGGCAACAGCTGCTCCATCAGTTGTAATAGCAACTATGTTGTATGTATTAAATAGTCAGATCAAACCTGAGCCTTAGTACCAGTACCTCAAGTTATACTTTATGACTTTCAACACTTTGATGACTGTATATTTAACAGGTTATTGGTTAAGTATTTATGTAAGAAGAAATATGATTTCCAACCATTAGTTACGTAATTTATTCCTCCATTCTTACTTTTAAAAACTTTATAATAAAAATATATTTCAATTTCAAAATTAATTTTCCACCAAACGTTTTTAAAAAACACTGTTACAAGATCAAAATCTTTGTAATGAGTTTGAATGAATGATTAATGAATGAATGATTAATGAATGATTAATGAATGATTAATGAATGATTGATTAATGAATGATTAATGAATGATTAATGAATAATTAATGAATGATTAATGAATGATTAATGAATGATTAATGAATGATTAATGATTGATTAATGAATGATTAATGAATGATTGATTAATGAAGTTTTTTAGTGGCGCATCTAGGTATCTGATTTTGAACACGCTGGAAAATTTTGTAATGTTTGTTTTTAAAATTTTCTCTGATTAAAAGTATGTTCAGATTGTGTTTCAATCAGTTATTTAATGCTTTGTTGCAATGATTGGTTGGTTGGTTAACAATGAGAGTTAAAAAATAAATATCACATTCAAATGAAAATAAATGAATTTTTCAAATATCACAAGAAGTCAGCAGAACAGGTTATATTCATTTGATGAAGCTTTTATGACTTCTTGTCGGTTCCAAGTTAAGCCTTATTCTACTCCATGGTAGCCACCTTGTGCAGCTGCTGTATCTAATCGTAATCATTTTTTTTATAACTATTATTTACTACTTAGGGTAACCTGGGGCAAAGCGAGACACTTTTAGGGAGAATGCTTGTAACTTGAGAAGAATCCCGTTTCACAACAAGAAATTTTGCAGGCCACCAGCGCATTATGTGTTTAACTATCTCTTGAATATTTGTGGTGATAGGTTTGTTGCATTGGTACATAATTAAACTCAAAATGGCAACAACTACCCTGTCTCACTTTCCCCAAAACCTGAGGCAAAGTGAGACAGATTTTATTTGAAGAAGAAACTAAGTAAAAATGTAATTTTCAATAAAAATTAAAGCAGACATTGATAAATTCGATCTGATTAAGTATAAGAACGCAAATAGAAACACAAAGGTATCATTTTATAATGTAATTTTTCCTCTTAAATCAAAAAACATGATAGGAAAAAATATCAATCAAAAATATAAAATAACAAAAAATAAAAATCAAAAAAAAATATCAATAAATAAATGCATATGTAAAGTTTCATATTAGTCAATAAATTTGAATAAAATCTTTACACTTAGAAAGCAAACATCGTTTAATCTATAGTCTTCGTGTACCCAAACAGTACATATGCAACAAGCTATCCAGTCGATTTGGGTATTATTGCCCCATTTCCCTTGACAAACTGGAAAAAATCATTCCTCTTCATTGTTTACATCTTTTTCAATCAAGCATTTCATTAGTTTTTTTTTCTTTTTGTTCTTTTTTATATTTTTCTAATTTAATTTATTGTCATTGTTCTTTTTCAGTAATTTTTTTTTCCTTATTGTTCTTTTCTTTTTTTTTTTTATTGTTTTTTTCTGATTGTTTTTTTCATAAAATGATGATAGCAAGTTAAACTTGCCAAGTTTATAAGCTTGCTATTGTAAACGTTTACTTTGACAATTTATTAAGTTTTTAAACTTGCTTTCCTCAACATTTACTTTGACGATCTTTTTCAGTAACTAGCGTTGTCACACTTTTTCCGTAAATGTGAAGTTATATATTTCTTAAATATCTATGAAACAAAATAATCTAACATAAAAAGAAGAATGGGAGTTAAAAGATAACATATAAATTATTACAAACTTAATAATATGTTTGTTCTATGGTAAAAAATGGCAGCGTACGTGGATTTTTCCCACCAAAAAAAAAAATTAATTTTGGTTTTTTAATCAAATTGACGCAATTCGTAAGCTTTAAACCCACTTTTATGTGATATTATAGGAAAAAACTGATGAAAACAACATTAAAAAAAAACATGAAACTTTTAATATAATAAACCAAAATTACTGTAGCATTTCAAAAAAAATCTGTGCAATGCTAGAAAGCCTAAATGTCTTACTTTGCCCCGGTGTTTCGCTTTGCCCCAGGTTACCCTACATTTCATGGAAACCATATATAAAATCAATTACAATTAACATTTGCAAAGTTGCTAAGATAAGCTTAAGATAAGCTTAGGTTGCGTCTCGTTATCGTGCTCGCTATTTTCTTACTCCTGATTCTCTACCTCTACAGATATCTTATTCGTCCCTGTATGGAACACTGTTGTGTTCCATTTGGGACGCTGTCATAGTTGTATGGAATATTTTTATCATATTTGGACTTCTAATGATGCTCTTACTCTTTTAGACAAAGTCCAAAAAAAAAACATTGTTAACGTAGTTGGACCTGCTTTATCTGCCATGCCTGAGCCTCTCTTCCAACGTTGTAAAGTTACATTACTTTCTCTTTTCTACAAATACTGGTTGAGTAACAACCTAATCATGGTTGCTACTCAAAGGAGCTATCATCTCTAGTTCCATCAACTAAAAGTCATTTTCGCTTGACTTGTCATTCAGTAAAGCCTCATTCTTTTACTGTATCTGTCCCTGCATGCTCTAAAAACTTTTATTTGTCTTGTCTTTTTCCCACTTTGGGACAACCCTTTAAACCCTTTTTCCCATTTTGGGACAACCTTTTGAACCCTTTTTCCCACTTTGGGACAACCCTTTGAAACTCTCTCACATTTTCATGTTTTTCTGATACATACGACCTACAACTTTTCAAGTCTTCTGTCAACCGTTTCCTTGCTCTATAACTCTATTCTGTTTTTTTCTAATAACTCTTAACTTAATGGTTGCTTACAGCCTTGTTGGGAGAGAATAATAATAATAAAAAAAAACAAGGAATCCTATTTTATAAATTCAGAATACCACGGTCACTTTTGATCTCCGTGTTTTATAAGGTCGATTTTTTCTTTAACTGCAATTTTTTTGTCAAAATTTAAATTAATTTAAACACATCTAAACTTTATAATTAAAATACTTTTATATCAAAAGTACCATACACTGTACCAAAATTGATACATTGTACTTGCGATTAAATCTGCTATGAATATAAAACTTTGTACTTGTGATTAAAAGTATTATGGGTATAATATTTGTTGTTAGACTTTATTTTAATCGTATTTTTTTAAATTAGATTATGGTATGGGGTGATTATGGACGACTGGATCGTAAGGTGTTTATGGGTGTATGTCAAATTCTACTTGATGACCTAGATCTTAGTCAATTAGTTGTGGGTTGGTACAAACTTTTTACGACTACTTCACTTGTACATCCTCCTTCTAATCCTAGTCCTAATCCTTCTAATCCTACCACTAGTAGCACTAATAGCGATAGATTTTAAATTTTGGATTTATACAGAGGATGGGTAATAAGCAATTAAGAGTTGGAACTCCACGAACGAATGTAATATAACCATGAAGAATATATCCACAGCTATGACAAATGAAGAACCTATCCACAGCTATGAAAAATGTTAGTCTACAACGGGGTTGAGCAGACTTTTTTTGCGTTAAAACCGACTGCAGTTTTTGTTCTGGAGAAAAGTTCTTCAAGTTTTATACTGTTTAGAACATTTGACTTACAACTGTTAAACGATTGAATAGTTTTAAAAGCATTTTTTAATTGCTTTTGAAACTATTCAATAAGCTTTATTATTGCATACAAAATTTACAAACAGTTTTAAACTACTAGGTTTAGGGTTTAAAAGTTGTACTTAGTTTAAAAACGATAGGTGGTTCCAAAAAAGGATTGTGATTCATTTTTGCCATCTGAGATCTTTAACTTTTTTAAAAAAACTTTACTCATTTGCCAATAATTGCGATAAAAATATTCTTCAATATATTTTGTCGTTATGCTATTGTAAATTGAAAAGCTTTTTCAGGAAATTTTTTTTATATATTTAAAAGATTGTAATAATTTAATCATACGAACTTTTGTATTAAACGAGGATACAAAAAAGTTCGCATTTTATTTTAAAATATTATTTTTTTATATCTATATGCTGTAATATATATATATTTATATTTTCTGTTGTTTGAAAATGTTTTATTAGAAATTTTTAGGTTTAAAGTATTTTACTGTTTAGTTTTAGAAAAAAATAAAATTATTTATAGTATTTATTTCAAATTTTTATTTTTCATGATTATATTTATTGAAAAGTTTTATTTATTGTAAACAAAAAATGTAAATATTTTTTTTTTGTTGTTTTAAAAAATTCTGCTTTATAAACATTATTAGTTATATAATTCTATTTCACTGCTTTGCTTTAATCTAATGAATGATTCCATTTTTTTTTTAAAAGAAATGTTTGGTGTGACCATCTTGTTTAGCGATAAATTTTTTAAAAAAGAAAAATTTTGCGAAACGTCCATATTAAACGATAACTTTTTTAAAAAGATTTGTTTTGTGTGACGGGTATATTGAACGATGAAGCCAAAACAAAATTTAAGCATTTCCAACTAAAACAAAAATCTATATTTTGATTAGATGCAATAATCTCATGATAATAATATATACAACATAATATGATAATAATTTACAACAATTAAATTATCAAGAATTTGACTAATGTTGATCTTGTTTTATTTAATGAAAAAAATTTCCCTGGAAACAATTCCTCCGAAAAAAAATTTTTTTTTTAAATTGATAGATTGCCGGTGTCGTACAAATTTATTTCCCCATAAATTTATTTCCGTGGCGCAAGTTTCGGTTACTAAGGAAATAATATTACGCGACTTAAGCATAAAATTGTTTCCCGACATAAATTTATTTCCGATGTGGAAATAAATTCGCAGAACATTGTACAACAACAGAATATAAAAATAAAAGACAAGAAAAAAAAAAACAAGTTTTAAGTATTTTATTTTGAAAATTACAAAACTATGTAAAAAGATATCTACTAAAATATTGATCATAAGTTTAAGATCATAACTCATTATTTTTTATTTTTAACTGTAAGTCATGTTAATATAGTATGTGACCACCTTTGTTATCTATGCAAAGTCTATATATTCTTTTAATAGTTTCAAAAAGATTTCGGCAACATTCAAAGGATAAACCATCATATAACTCTTTTAAAGTTTTTCTTAATTCTTTAGCTGAAGTTACAGGAACATTGGTCAGTTTTTGGTCTAGCACAGTCCATACATTTTCGATTGGATTTAAAATTGACGATACAGCCGGTCACTGGAGTACATTGATTTTGTTTTCTTTAAATCAAGCTCTTATTGTTTTTAATTTGTGACAAGGGGCATTATCTTGATGAAACTTCTATTCTGGCTTATCTCCAAAAAATAGGTCTCTTGTAGGAATGAAACGAATTTCAAGCGTCTCAATAAGTCTGTATTGGTCCATTTTACCAGTGTACAAGTAGCATAGTCCAGGTCCATCATATGTGATACAATCCCAGATCCCAACTGAACCTCCTCCACCCTGTAACCAAGGTACAATGAAACAATTATAAAACTTCTCATTATGGTGTCTTCAAACTATTACTCTATTTTTTCTATTAACGACTGTATAATTTGATTCATCGCTAAATACTATTTTTTTAAGCATCATTATCACTCATTTTAAAATTTCTTTTGCAAAATTGTAGCCGTTTGAGCCGATTTAATCGTTTAAGCATTGGTTTTTTAGCAGCAGTATACAAGCATAGTTTATGATCAATTAATCTTCAATTTACTGTCCGTCTTGAGATGTCATTTTTAAGACGTAGATTTATTTCTTGAGGAATTTATTTTGCACTATACTTAGGATTTTATTAAAATAACTAATAATAAAATATGAAATTTGCCTTGGCTATTCTGTTCGTAAGTTAGACATATAATGTCTAACTTACTTAAAGAAGTGCACCAACTAGAAGGTAAGCCATAGGACTTTGCACCTCATATCTAAGTTGTAATGCTGCCTAAGGTTAGATCTCCAATTCTAAATTATTTCCAATGTTTATTAGGCGTAAAAGTATTGTTAAACTGTAAAAGTATTATTATTGACAAAAAAAAAAGCCGTCCATTTCTGGATTCTTTCCTTTATATTTTTGCTGCTAATTGCATAACTGCAATTATTATTGCAATAACAATATAATAATATAGTAATATATTAAAAAATATCATGATATTAATATATTGTATTATTTTTAAAAATATTTTCTTATTTTATACTACTATCTATAATGAATATAACATAAATTGAACAGTCTCACCATCTATAGGATCCTCAAGAAGCTAATTTATTACACTTTTGTTTTTTATGAAAATCAAGCACTTTTTTTGTAGCATACACTAACAAAATATACACACATATTTAAATTTTTTATTTAGTAGCTAAAATTGTATCCATCCACTATGAAACAGGAAGCCATGGTTCCTGATGAACCTACTGAAGGAAAAATATTATGTTGAAGAAATCTAAAAATTAGATAAATGTTTTTACTAATTTAAATACACACACACACACACACACACACACACACACACACACATACAAATTAGTAAAAACTGGAACCTTTAATGTCAGTTTTTTTTTCAGCAGGATTATCAGGAAGCTGTCTGATGATCCAGCTGAAGGAGAAACTGACAGTAAAATATTTGACATAAATGTGAATCAGAAATTCAGAATAAAAACAAATAAAAACAAATGAAAAAAATCTTACTCATCGTTTATAGCATGAAAAACTACCATGTTTATAGCTACCATTATGAACATTAGAGTACAAGTTAAAATACAATTTTTAAGGTCTATTGCACATAGTTAATTTAAAAAGCTAAAATACATACAATAAAAGATAAGAAAAGCGTAAACATTAGAAGAAGTTTTTTGAAAGTGGTTCATTTAAAAAATAAAGGACATGATAAAATAACATAACAAAATTTTTTAAAATGTAACTAAATTAAACTTCAATAAAACTGTTTCAAGTTTAAAGCATAAACTGAAAAAAAAATATTCTAGTAAATAAAATAATAGATTTTCGTTAAATATACTAGATGTCTAAATAAAAAAAAAAGAAAATAATAGCTTAATCTTTTCATAAATAATTCAAATAATAATTAAAGGAAAAGTAGAACTAAAATAAAAACAATTAAAATCTAAAAGTTAATTATTAAATAATACACAACAGACATTTTCATGCATTAACTTTATCTGAATATGTGTTTGTGACTGCTTCACAAAAAATGTGAAAAATATTTTACAGCTATTAACCTTAATAATTTTTCAAATCCAATATTAGAGGAACATTAACAAACATTAAAAATCGCAAAACTTTTACATTTATTAACTGTACTTTCTGAATATAATCTTGGAAATGATGTAAAATGCTTAACTTTAAAGCAATGTGTAAATGCTGGTGCATTGCAGATTGATTGTACGAAATGAATACAACATTTTGTCCCTTACAAATATCTATTGCAAATGCAATTGCAAACAAACCACAGTCAATTCCTCCAATTTGTTACTGACATGATTGGTATTGACACATAACTGCATTTTTAGAACATGATATAATTGAAGCAATTTGTTTACATGCAAAGTTGGCATTTCTGTCTTCATTGAGTCATAAATTTTAACGACTCCATCGCTGCAACCAAGTGTGCTAATCAACAACCAGTGAAGGGATCCGTCATGCAAAATTTGTAGCATCTCCTGTGACTGTATACGGAACATGAGATTTGTCCCTAATAAGGTGTTTTGCATACCTTGAATATCAAGAAATTTTTTAATATTGCTTGAGCAGCATTAATTTCAGTATCTCCTAACATGTTTTGATTTAATATACTCTCAAATGCAGATATTGGTAAATGTAATGCTATTTTTAGATAAATAAGTATCAATAGAGTGCTTTTAATATAAAATTGATTTTGTGATGACGTTATTTGACCAGGTTCAAATTTTTTGACTGTATTTGTTGCAGGGTAACTACTGTATGACAAATCAAATGAGTTGCTTCTAAATGTTGAATATTAGTTTCTATGTCTTGACATGGATAATAAGCTAAGAAACGTTTACTTTTGTTTTTAAAATTTTACCATTAAGGTTTTTTAAAGTGCATTGACCTTTTATGTTTAAATCAGCTAGAGTATATGGTCCCATCCACTCCTTACATAAAGGTTCACCTTTGCGACCTCGTTTTCTTGCATTTAACTTCATCACTTGATCGTTTATTTTAAATGTAAATGTCTTTATACGCTTTTTTGCAACTTTTTTCATATGTTGCTCACACTGCTTTTCTTGAGCAATTTTTATATTTTCTCTAACTTTTTTTTCAACAGCCTCACAATCATTAACTAACTTTTCTACTGTAAAGTCAGATATTTTTTTCAAGAAAACTACTATTTAAAGAATCATCAGTCTCATTTAGAACATTTATCATCTCAATACCTGTAGGATGTCTTAAATACATTAAATAAAACAAGTCATCTTTGTAGATTTCTAGCATGATATGTTCAGTCCATAAGCAATTGAAGATGTGTAACTAATACAAATCGTAAAAAAAATTATTGTAATAATAAATTATAGTGTATATATAAGGAAAATGAAATAAGAATATAGACTACTAAACCTATCCCAGTCATTCATCTCATTATTAGAATACTTGCTTAAAGCACGTTTAAAAGTTTGATTTATACGTTCGTCTTGATTATTACTTTGAGGATGGTGTGCTGATGTCACAGAATTTTTAATACCCATTAATTGAAAAATTAATTAAAAAAACTAATAAAATAAATTTTCAATAAGACAAAGAAATCAAAAGTTTTAGAAACTTTTTTAGTCTTTACCTCATTCACAAATTCTTTTCCTTGATCAGTAATTACTTTTTTGGTGGACCATTAGTATGAAAAGTGTTAACCAAAGCAGTAGCTACAGCAACAGCAGATTTTTCAGGTAATTCTCTAGCAACAATCCATTTTATAAACAAATCTGTTATTGTTAAAACATATTTATTGCCATTCACTGTTTCAGGTAATGGACCAATTAGAT